TCTGCAGTTTGTTTATATCACCTTAATCATACTAATAAATCTCTCCTCAAAATCCATCTCCTTTAGCTCTGCAAGCATAAATTGCCAGTACACGTTATCAAACGGTTTCTGTGCATCTAGGACAGGGGTCAACAACCTGCGGCTCTGGAGCCGCATGTGGCTCTTTGGGCCCTCTGCTGTGGCTCCCTGTTAGATGATCCCACCACTGCCTGGCCCCGCCCCTTGCCCTCCCCTCCCAGTCACTCCTCGCCTGGCCTGAGAAGGTAAGGGCGATGGCGGGGGATGGGAGAAGTGGCCAGGGCAGAGACAGAGAGATACAGAGAGAGGGGGAGAAAGAGAGACATAGAGAGATACAGAGAGAGGGGGGGAGAGAGAGAGGGAGGGAGGGAAGAGAGAGATGTCAAAAGGATTTTGTGGTTCCTGGTGTTTTTTAACAACTGGTTCTTTGCCCTAATGATCAGCTGGGTAGGCATGGCAAGGAGGGGTCATTTGACTGGTGGAAGTGAGTCACATCGAGTTGGCCACGCCCACCCAGGTTTTGTGGCTTCCAGTGTTTTCTTTTCTGTGGGAAATGGGTCCAAATGGCTCTTTGAGTATTTAAGGTTGCAGACCCCTGATCTAGGAAGATCAGTCCCATTTGCTTCTCTGGATGTGCTTCGTAGTACTCCAATGTGTTTAAGATTATTCTCATATTGTCTTTAATTTGTTTCTTAGGTAAAAATTTTGGTCTGAATGTATAAATCAATTTAAAAATCATTTTAGTCTTTATGTAATTATTGAAGCAAATATTTTATAATCTGCATTCAGCAAAGATATCGGTGTATAGTTTTTTATCTGTTGTAGACCTGCATCTTCTTTCAGTAAGAGAGTAATATATGCTTCCATCCATGAATTTGGTACTTTTGCTTCTAACAAAAGTTCATACTTTCAACATTGGAATAAAAGTATCTTGCAAGTCTTTAAATAATTCTGCTGGTAGTCCATCCGGATCTGGTGTCTTCCCATTCTTTTGCCTCTTGATTGCTTCTGTTAATTCCATCATTGATATATGTTCATCTAACATTGCTTTCAGGTATTTTAGGTAGTTCCACTTTTTCTAAGTATTGTTTTATTTTATCTTCTGAAATTTGCTCTTGGTCACATAAATTCTTGTAGCAATTTTGAATCACTTTCTTTTTTTCATAATAATAATAATAATAATAATAATAATAATAATAATAATAATAATAATAATAATAATAATAATAATAATAATTTTATTTCTATACCGCCCTTCTCCCAAAGGACTCAGGGCGGTGTACAGCCTATTTAAAAACACAAGACAAACATCAATGTAAAATTTAAAATTATTAAATAAATTTGGCTCCATTTAAAGCCCCAGAAATTTAAAATACCCCAATTTAAAATTATCATGTCGATAGCCCGGCCTGGCGGAACAACAGGGTCTTCAGTGCACAGCGAAATACCCGGAGGTCGGGGATCTTACGTATTTCCAGGGACAGTTCATTCCACAGGGCTGGGGCTCCAACAGAGAAGGCCCTCCCCCTGGGTGTCACCAGCCGACATAACTTGGCCGATGGCACCCTGAGTGGACCCCCTCTGTGGGAGCGAACTGGCCGGTGGGAGGCTATTGGTGGCAGAAGTCGGTCTCGAAGATACCCGGGTCCTATGCCATGGAGCGCTTTAAAGGTGGTGACCAGCACCTTGAATCGCACCCGGAAGACCACTGGGAGCCAGTGCAGCTCGCGCAGGAGGGGTGTCACATGGGCACAATGAGTTGCGCCCATAACCACCCGCGCGGCCGCATTCTGGACCAGTTGGAGCCTCCGAGTACTCTTCAAGGGGAGCCCCATGTAGAGAGATTACAATAGTCCAGCTGGGAGGTGACAAGGGCATGAGTGACCGTGTGCAAGGCGTCCCAGTCCAGAAAGGGCTGCAACTGGCGAATCAGGTGAACCTGATAAAAGCCCCCCCTGGCCACCGCCGTCATATGCTCTTCTAAAGACAGCCGTGCATCCAGGAGGACATCCAGATTGCGAGCCCTCTCTGTGGGGGGGCAAAGATTCACCCCCAATAGTCAGCGATGGCACCTGCTAACTATATCGGGACGCCGGAAGCCACAGCCACTCAGCCTTGGAGGGGTTGAGTCTGTGCCTGTTTCTCCCAATCCAGACCCGCACAGCCTCCAGGCAGCGAGACATCACATCAAGGGCATCGTTGGGGTGATCTGGGGTGGAGATGTACAGCTGAGTATCATCAGTGTACAGATGACACTTCACCCCAAAACCACGGATGATCTCATCCAGCGGCTTCACATAAATGTTGAACAGAAGGGGCGAGAGGACCGACCCTTGCGGCACTCCCCATGCAAGGTGCCTCGAGGTTGACCTCTGCCCCCCTGCCAACACAAACTGCGAGCGGTCAGAGAGGAAGGAGGAGAACCACCGCAAAATGGTGCCCCCTATTCCTAACCCCCTCAACCGCTGCAGCATGGTCGATGGTATCAAAAGCCTCTGAGAGATCTAATAGGATTAGGACAGAGGAGCAACCCCTGTCCCGAGCCCTCCACCAACGTGACCAATGCCGTTTCTGTGCTGTACCCCTGCCTGAAGCCCGACTGGCATGGGTCCAGATAGATAGCTTCATCCAGGTGTCGGGGAAGCTGTCGTGCCACCACGCTCTCAACAACCTTCGCCACAAAACGAAGGTTGGAGACCGGACGGTAGTTGGCTAATTCAGCCGGGTCCAGGGAAGGCTTCATTTTGATGGTGAAAATTACCTTCATTGTCCACTAGTTTATGTATCAATTTCTTTTTCTTTTTTCAATTTATACACCAGCCATCTTCCTGGTTTATTTGCATTCTCAAAGAAATTTTGTTTGACACTTTTAATTTTCCATGCTAGTTTTAATAGATAAAGATATTTTAAATTCAACTTATGCTTCGTTAAGTCCATTTGATTCTTTATATTCTTTTTTGTGGATCTTTTTGTAGTTCTGTCTCTAATCTCTTATATTCTTCTAATGTCCTTTGATTTTGTCTTTTTCTTTATTCTGTTTTCCTCTGTATGTTATAGTTAATCCTGTAATATATGCCTTAGCTGTATCCCATACATTTTCTAGTGATGTTTCTTCTTTTCTATTTTCTTTAAAGAAGTCTAGTTCTCTTTCCAAAAATTGAATAAATTCCTTTTCTTTTAATATTTCTTGGTTCATCACCCATCTTGGTTTTCTTTTTTGTCCTTTCCATATAACTTTTATCATGTTATGATCTGCCCAATTACTTATTTCTATACTTATTTCTTGCATGTTGGCTTTAGTTCCGCTGTCATCCATATCATATCTATTCTTGACCAAGACATGTGTCTATTTGAATGAAATGAATATTGATTTTCTTTGGGATGTATCTCTCACCATGCATCTTGAATAACTAGTTCTTCCACCATTTTGAAAAGACAGTAAATTTGCCTTCTTTTTTCAAATTTGAAGAATGAGTTCACAATCTAAATGTCACTATAGTATTACAGAATTAATGTTTGGTAATATTTGTCTACATATCTCATAAGTTAATCTTACATTACTTAGTTATCATTGTTAGGTTTGAAAGTGCCTGATTCAGCAAAGGCATTTCACAGCATGTAGCCAGGAGATAACTCAGTAATTTTCAGAAATATCAATTAGAGACATAAACAATATATCCTTCAAAACGAAGACAATTGTATCTAAGGCATTAAGCATATTCAAAGGGCAGATTTTCTGATTTTTCACTTTTTTCTTTTCCCTTAGGGAAGTCGTGGTCTGATGGGTACTAATGGAACACAAGGAGAAGTTGGATGTACTGGTGCTAGAGGTCCCAAGGCAAGTTTTCAAACCTTTTCCAGAGGGATCACCCAGAGTCTTAGGTGTTCTTGTGAATTACACTTTACATGATTTCATATTTTACCATCTTGGTGTGATTGTGTGGTTATATGTTTGCTTGGTGTGGTTGTACGGTATGCTTGTTACTTTTTGAATGATTTCATAGTTGTCTTCTACTTTGAGAAACGAGAATGCATGCGTATCTGTAAGGCACGGGTGTCAAGCTCGCAATGTCATGTTGCCATCATGAGATGTATTGTGATGTTTTTTCCCCTCTGTGGGCCTGCATGTGATGCATCTGGCCCATGGGCTGCCAGTTTGACATCCCTGCAAGGTATCCTTCAAAAAAATCCAGAAAGTGGCCACAATGATGTGTTTGAAACTCTATTTATGTGATGCCCATTAAAAAAAAATCAAGCAGAGATTGAATTGCACTATTGTGGCTACCTTTGAAACATTTTGACCACACCTGATGACTCCCATGTTATAATGTGTGCATTTTATTCAATAAATTATATTTATATTTATCAAAAGAAAGTTGTTCCTGAGAAGATGAGAAAGATGATCTTCTCTCAAAAAAGGAAGATTAAACACCAGCTGTAGTGACAATAACAAAAAGAATATAACAAGATAGAAACTTCACACATGACTCAACTGCTCTAATTTGTCAGCTAGAGTTGCTGGCTCCTACCAAAACCAGAGTTGGACATTTTTTTCCCCACCCAACAAATATGCTTGGTATATGATACCCTTGTCCACAGGGTTTTGAATACAACGAATGCTCATCTCCTAGGTAGGGGAAGCATTTTTGCACATAAAAACTTCAGATTAAAAATCGGTAGGAACTTTATGGGTAGTAAGAAATGCATTGCTTTCTGTGCTTCTCTAAGCAATCAAAAATGGGAAAGAAGCTGTCAAGTTCCTAATGTGAAGTGAACAATTGCTAGGAATGAGCATTTAAAGTATCACTATACTGTAAGGCAGTATAGAAAAAAAATCTACTGATCCCGTCACCTGAATACTGATTTGCATTTCTGGTTATCTAGAATTTCTAGTGCAGAAAAATACTCTATATTTGGAAATACGTTTCAGAACGTTTGAATTTCTTCTGTGTAACACCCAGTTTTTTCTGCATTTCAGGGAGTAAGAGGATATAGAGGAAAAAAGGTAGGCAATTATTTAAAAAAAAACATTAAAATAGAGAAACAAACTGCTTTCTTCAAAAGATATGGCTTAAAGATTTACTTTGATTATTATTACTATTTTGTAGTTGCTAGGTATGGACTTTTAGCAGTCTAAAGCATTACATAAGGGTATCTCCAAAGTTTCTCATCCTTCAAAATCAGTCTAAATAGGGTTTGTCATCCCCTTTACTTCTGCTGTATGGGATGTGGTGGTCTAGCAGTTAAGATGCTGGGCTTATCTCTAGAAGGTTGGCAATTTGAGACCCAAATACTATGTGATAGGGTGAGCCCCTGTTCTTGCCCAGCTCCTGCCTATCTAGCCAGGGGTGGGTTTTAAAACCCATCGCTACCAGTTCACTCATATGCATGCTCAGAAGCGTTCGGGTGGGTGGCCAGAGCCTCCTACTGCCACTAACAGTTTGCCCAATCTGGGGTGAACTGGTAGCAACCCACCACTGGTAGCAGTTCAAAAGCATGCAAAAGTATCACTTGAGTGGGAAGGTAACAGCATTCCATGCACCTCGGCATATAGTCATGCCAGCCACAGACAATGCTGGCTCCCTTGGCTAAGAAACAGAGGTGAACACCACCGCCTAGATTTGGACACGATGGGAAACTTTTATCTTTTTTTCCCCACTTCCGCTATCTTGCAATGCTGAGAACAAGGAATGAACAAAATTACGCTTTCACCTCAGTCTTGAGAAACTGTCTTTCCCTCTTAACCTCTGTGAACGAGGTAAAAAACTACTTCATTGTAACACCTCTTTTCCTTTCTCGTCTTTCATATTGTTTGTCATATGAAATCGTTCATATGAGTGTGAGTTACGGAATCACCAAGTCACATTACTCTTGAAAGACTTAGGAGATAATGTGAGAGTGAAGCTGTCAAATATAGTGATGAAATCATGGAATCATGAAGGTCTAGACTTACTCTCAAAGTGGCACAGAATTATTAGATGAAAGTGGCTTAATTTGAGTAGGACTATTACTTCTCTTTTCTTTATCAGTATAGTATTATTCATGGTTTGTTGCACAGTCAGCCAGATGTTCAGGCTGGATTTGTCTGCCTTAACAGAATAACAGAGTTGGAAGGGACCTTGGAGGTCTTCTAGTCCAACCCCCTGCTTAGGCAGGAAACCCTACATCACTTCAGACAAATGGCTATCCAATATCTTCTTAAAAACTTCCAGTGTTGGAGCATTCACAACTTCTGGAGGCAAGTTGTTCCACTGATTAATTGTTCTAAGTGTCAGGAAATTTCTTCTTAGTTCTAGGTTGCTTCTCTCCTTGATTAGTTTTTACCAGGGGTGAAATGCTCCCGGTTTGGACTGGATTGCCTGATCTGGTAGCGATGGAGGCGGGTGGTTTGGAGAACCGGTAGCAAAAATCCCTGCCCGCCCCCCATGCCCAGCTGAGCCGCACGATCATCAGAGGTGTTTTTTTTATTTTTAAAAGCATTTTTTCTACAACCTCTTGGGCTGAAAAAATGCTTTTAAAAGTAAAAAAAAAAAGCCTCTGATGATCGCGCGGCTCAGCTGGGATCATCAAAGACTTTTTTTCTTTTAAATGTCTCTGACGATTCAAGCTGAGTTGCCTGATCGTTAGAGGCATTTTTTCTTTTAAAAGTCTCTGACAATCCCGCTGAGTTGCCTGATCTGCAGAGACTTTTTTTCTTTTAAATGCCTCTGATGATCCAAGATGAGTTGCCTGATTTTCAGAAGCATTTAAAAGAAAAAAAGCCTCTGCCGATCAGGCAACTCAGCTGGGATCATCAGAGCCTTGTGAAAGCATTTTTTTTTACAAATGTGCTTTACATTTTTTAAGGTCTAAACCCTCAGTAAATAGGGGCATCTTGTCAATTACCTGGAAACTGAAATGCCCTAGCTTTCTGTGTAAGATATGAGCGCACTTACTATGAAGTGGTTTTCCCTTAGAGGGCTCTTTTTCACTGACCTTTTTGTTACCTTGAGATGTTTGAGATTCAATAACATTTTGGGTAGTCATTTCATCTATCTGCGCTCTGGCTTCCTTCTGCCCGTTGCTCCACTGCTCTAGAGCCTTGGGTTTAACAAGTGGGATTAGGTATGGCAAATCATTAAACAGTTTTAAACTAGCAACAATAACATTTTGTTTTGTCACATAACCACCAGTTTCCTTGAGTTTAATATTAATACCATTTTCCCTGCATAACTTTGTGCTACTCAGCAAGTAGCATAAGAGCCTTGATAGTACAGTGGTTTAGTGCACCCTGTTATTAACACAGCTGCCTGCAATTTCTGCTGGTTCGAATCTCTCCAAGGCTCAAGGTTGACTCAGCCTTCCATCCTTTCTAAGGTAGGTGAAATGAGGACCCAGTTTGTGGGGGCAATAAGCTGACTTTGTATAAAATATAGAAAAGAATGAAGGCTATTGCTTAACGCATTGTAAGCCGCCCTGAGTCTCCGGAGAAGGGCGGCATATAAATCAAATTTAAAAAAAAAAGTTATTGGTTATCTGTGGTACAAACAGTACTCCCTCAATATCGCCAATCCCTTCAATATAAACTGTTCCCACTCCTTCAACAAGTAGAAAAAATGGTTTAAAAAAAATTGGCCACGCCCACCCAGTTACATTACCCCCACCACCACCATCAAGCCATACCCATAGAACCCGTAGTAACAAATTTTAGATTTCACCACTGGTTTCAACCCATTGCTTCTTGTCCTATCGTCAGGTGCTTTGGGGAATAGCTTGACTCCCTCTTCTTTGTGGCAGCCCCTGAGATATTGGAACATTGCTATCATGTCTCCCCTAGTCCTTCTTTTCATTAAACTGCCTATCAAGTTCTTCCCAAGGATCTGGATAGGCAGATGTTGATGTTTGATGGTGTTACACATGTTGTTGCTGGCTGTAAACTGTTCCAAGTAAAGCTGCCTTTTGCAATTGACTAAAAATAAATTTGTCAATGCTGATGGTTATTATTATTTAGGTTAGCAGAATCTCATCAGAACTATTTGGTTGTATCTAACATTATGTAAGTCAGTGCTGGTTTATCAGGCCTTTGAGGATACATAGCTATAATCAAAGGAAGGGAGAAAAAAGAATGTGTCATGAATGGAGGGCTTCTCATTTGATGCTGCAAAAGTAACAAAGAATTTCATAATAAATATGGCTTACATTTTCTCCAACAGGGTGAAGCTGGTAATTCCGGGGTTGATGGTATTGATGGACATGAGGTATTTATCCAATAAATTTTTATCCTATACATACATACATACATACATACATACATACATACATACATACATACATACAGTACATACAGTGTATGTGTGTATGTGTTTGTGTGTGTTTTATAAATAACTAAGAAGGTAAACATACATAATATTTCTTCCTTCTCCTATTTTCTCCATAAAAACAACCTTGTGAAGTAGATTGGATTGTGAAAACATTACTGGACCAAAGTCATCCTGGTTTCTAGGTCAGAACATTTTGATGAGCCCATTTTTATGTAGATGATTTAAAGATCCACATAATGTCTGAATAAATGCAGAATTGAATTAAGTCACAAAACAGTTTCAATAAAACCACAAAACCAATCATCTGTTTAAATTTGTAACAATCTAATGAATACTTTGTAAAAGCCACTTAAAGAAAAGATTAAAGGTTTCCAGATCATCTCTAATCCAGATCTTTTTAAGAAACATGTTTCATGAGATTACTGAGTTACTGTCCTTTTCTTTTGGGGTCTAGGGAGAACAAGGATTTCCAGGATCACATGGACAAAAGGGCTATTCAGGCCAAAGGGTAAACTGAATTCTGTGTTGAATGCAATTATGGGCAGCTTTCTCTACTGCCCAGATGTCTTGAGACCACAACTCCCAGAATTTATTGCTGGTGATTTTCCAATATATAGGGGTCAATGCATCTGAAAGAGGGGAAAATTGCTATACAGCATTGTCAGCAACCTTCAAACCTTTTGCCAAGTCCTGTGAGTTAATGATTATATGATAAATAAATGCATTATTTACACAGAGAGACTGACTACCGCCCATCTATCTGTCTCAAGGGCACCAAATACAAAACTGTAACCCAGCTTAAAGTTAAATGATTTAAAACCTTTTTCCTTTCCACTTTACTACTATGAACATGGTTACAGACCTAGATAGTGAACACCAAACAATGACTCTGGGATGATATCTGCAAATGTAATAAGTGGTACTGGAAAATATGAGCTAGTGAACTCTTCTTTCTTCTCTTTGTGGTTAAAGGGTAGAGAAGGCCCTAGAGGAGAATCAGGTGAGCCTGGACAGCCTGGAGTAAGAGGAGATAATGTAAGTAGGAATAGCTATTGTTTTGGTTTTAGAATGGAGCTTTGGCTGTGGAGTTGGGAAAAACAAACAGCAAACCTTATTGTTGCTGTTACCATTACACAGATACTTTTGATATGTCTGTTTTTTTTTAGACTTGAGGGAGGGTTTTTTTGCCTTTCTGGAACTGCACTCTTTTCAGCCTTATCTTGCAGTAGCTGGAAGAGGCACGGCCATGTTATTGCACCTGTCTGGGGGCCTCTTCCAGTAGCTGATTTGCAAGGAAAGCTGCCGAGAAGGTACCAAAGCAAGCATATAAGAGCAATGGGGTCATTAGTCTTGGTTCCCCAAATTCCTTCACTGCAGGCAGACAAAGTAGCATTTTTGAAACAGATAGAGAACCTATTGGGCAGTGAATGTTTACTAAATGGGGTCAAGATTTGCAGTTGTCAGAAGGACAAAGACTAGAAAGAGTGCAGAGAAGAGCAACAAAGATGATTAGGGGACTTGAGGCTAAAACATATAAAGAACAGTTGCTGGAAATGGATATGTCTAGTCTTATGAAAAGAAGGACTAGGGGTGACATGATAGCAGTGTTCCAATATCTCAGGGGCTGCCACAAAGAAGTGGGAGTCAAACTATTCTCCAAAGCAGCTGAAGGTAGAACAAGAAGCAATGGGTGGAAACTAATCAAGGAGAGAAGCAACTTAGAACAAAGGAAACATTTTCTGACAGTTAGAACAATTAATCAATGGAACAACTTGTCTCCAGAAGTTGTAAATGCTCCAACACTGGAAGCTTTTAAGAAGAGATTAGATAACCATTTGTCTGAAGTGGTGTAGGGTTTCCTGCCTAAGCAGAGGGTTGCACTAGAAGACCTCCAAGGTCCCTTCCAACTCTGTTATTCTGTTATTAGAAAGAATGGAGTTCTCTGAATCAGAATGATAGGGCTTTTAGGGTTTATGTGTATGTGGGTGTATGAGAGAGATGAGAGTTATTTTTCAAAAGACTCAGTTTGATGTAGTGGTTAGGCATCAGGCTAGAAACGACCATGAGTTCTAGTTCCCCCTAAGGTGGGTGACCTTGGACCAGTCATTCTCTTTATCCCTAGGAAGCAGGCACTTCTAAAAACAACGCCAAGAAAACTGCAGGCATTAGTCCTGACAGTTATTGTCAATCAACAATGATGACCAACAAAAGTTGGTTTTCTTTTGGAATTTACCAGAATGGGTTCAAGACCTCTTACAATACTGTGGGATATAGTTTGTCTTACATTAAATTCAATGGAAATAGAATAGAGTCTTGCACCTTGAACTCTAGCACAGGTCTGGCTTCCAATTGGTGTAGTAGTGTGACAATGGAGTGCCTTTTATTCATGCAAGTTATCCATTCAGTAACTTGCTGAAAGTCCAATCTTCAATGCCCTTAATCACACAGGAACATACATATATGAAAAAGGCTGCAAAAGGCTGAAAAGCTACCTTCTTTCCAAATAGCCAGTTATCTGTAAAGTACAAGTTTGGCACAGATGTGCTGTATTGTTGTTCCATGCTTACATGAAAACTTTTGTAACTGCTTTGTAAAATTGATTTTGGTGGCATAAAGCCCTTTAGAAGGTGTTTTTTTTTCTTTAAGTAGGAAGTTTCTGTATGTTGGAACTGATCATAGTTTAAAAACTAGAAATAGCATGGAAGAATGCTTTATATAACTTTGTGCTTATCTAGGTGGCTATCTGTTCTAATTTACACTGTAAATTTAGTGTAAATTGTTGTTCTAAATTTTGTGTCCTAAATTTTGGTCTAAAAGTGTTCTAAATTTTTCTGTTCTAATCTAATTTAATGCTGAAGAAGCTTGAAACATATAACAATAAATACAATACAACCATAAAACATATAACAATAAATACAAATAAAGGCTAGAGAGACCTTGAAGCTTCCCAGGAACAGTTATCAATTGTTTAACAACAATTTAACAACAAATTGAATCTCAGAAACACAAAAAATCTATTCATAATTTAAATTATATAATTATAAGTTTACAGTACATCTATACATGTAGATTTGTAATTGCAAAAGTTATGGAAAACTAAATCTAAGGTTTAGTGGATTTCAGTTTTAGTCCCAAGAATGTTTCTGAAGTATATTTGGATAGAATGAATGATATTTGAAGTGGCTTGAAACCAGTGCTTGGTTAGAACCAAGAGGCCAGCAGCATTCATGGGGTATGTACCATATGTGTGTCAGGGAGTTCAGAATGATGAAAATAATATTGCAATGTTTCAATTCAAGTTCTGTCCCTCCTATATATGAATCATGTCATTGCACATGTCAATAAAAAGAGTGGAGTTTATGATGTAATATTGTTTTCATCATCTGATAAAAACAATAGGTTCCTTTATAGTCCATGCAAAGAGCTGAACACAGAATCAGAGTCAAGGTACAAACCAGTAATAAGGACCTATCAATCCTCATAAGATTGTTGTGGAATGATGAGACCAAACAACATTCCTAGGTTAGTCAGAGACAGTGTATTGCGCAAGGTTCAGAGCCAGTTTTATACATGAAGCTTTGAACAAGGAGAGAACTCTGTTACAATGGTTTTATACACTTCTAAGACAAAGCATTCTGTTAACTCAGCAGTTTATATGGTCATATACATTTGTTATATTTAATTGACATTTCCTAATTACTAAAGTTTTATATTATTCTTGCCAAACAATCATAATTCTTCTGTAAATTACTGGAGCATAGATTCAAATTATCTTCTGTTGATAGATGACTTTTAACTCATGTGGATCCCCTTGACCTAACCAAGCTTTAAGCTGTATGTCATTAGAATGTTCCTATCTTCTGACAACTTAGAGGCCTCCTAGAGGTATCAAAAGGATTTTGGCTGAGTTTGTAATTTTTCCAACCGGATGCATTTCCTGCCTTTAGAACAGAGTGAATAGAAAGTTATCCAGTGGTCATCTATCAGAGCCCGCTTCATTTACATTATTCCCCCCTTTGAAAGTTTTTCAATGCAGAAACTTTCACTATTCTCTTATAAGTTTAACTTCTGAATATACAAGGTTCCAATAAACAAATCTACCATATATAGGGTCTAACAAAATATAATTAATAAAGGTAAAGGATAGGTAGTTCTTGATTATTTTTACTCTCTTGATTCTTGGGGAGATTCTCTCCCTCTTTCTACAGGTTCCATTTCCTCATATGGGTCTGCCTCAGAATCTTTATGTTCTTCCACAGGATAGGGACCAAGTTGATTAAGAAAATGTTCTGTCAAAGCTAGTTCCTTTTCAATTTGTATCTCCTTTACTGCTCTTATTGATAGCTGTTTCAGCATAGGGATTGCACAAGGAATAAAAGCTAGGCCTGCCACAGCCATATTAATCCACCCGGATCCAGGCAACCAAGAAAACCACATGTCAGTTGTTTGTAACCTCTTACTTATCTTGGATGCCCTATCCTGCAATTCCTTAGCAATTTCTCTGACCATCCCTGATTTATTCATATAGAAACAACAGTCTTCTCCCAAAAGTACACACATACCTCCTATGTTTATGGAGAAAGCATGGATCCTACGGTAGTTTTCATTAGTCCAGACCCCCAAAGTCCCTGCCACAAACATCCCTGCCAGTGGTTGCAATGGGACTTCTAGTGAAGGGTCCTTTTGTTTATCTCTGAGGATTGGTCCTTCAAAAAGATACCGGGAGGTAGTATTCCAGGGGAAAGAAGACACATAAACCTGTGTTGGACCTAATGGAGAGCCAGATTGTGAAGCGAGGGGGCTGGAACAGACTGGTGCACCTTTCCTTGGATACCTTCCAGGACCTCTTCCACCCTCCCCATCTTGTGATGATGGCAGTTGGTGGTGATGAGAAAGTGAGTGGTGTGCAGAAGGAAAAAGATCTTTGGTTAGTTTTACATCCCTAATGTTCATTCTAGGACCAAGGTACACTTCTGATGGACATTGTTCTTTTGTCAGGGATCCTATAGGCCTACCAGGTTTCTGATGTCTCTTTACACACAGGGAAGGTGACCCTATGCTTTAACAAGGTTTCGACCCAATTCCAGTATCCCTGATATGCAATCTCCTCTTTTCAATTGTTGCAGGGGTCTGTTCTCCTTTTCTATTCTCTCCTCTACCGGGATTGTTAAACTCTTGATCCCAGGTCTAGGAGTTGGTTTAGGTCTAAGGCTTCCCCCCACCTTCTAATACCACGTTGTTGGCGGGAGTGGACTTGACCCAAAGTGTCCCCATTCAGTGTCCTGATGCTGTTAGTTCCCCTGGGATTCTTGACATCTTTAATTCCTTCTATAGGGACAAGGGGGATTTCTTGAACACCCACAAGGCCTTAAGAGTGCAAGACCCGTAGTTTACAAATTCACCACGTCAGGAAGAGGGTTAGGGATATGCGTAACTTGGGGTAGGGCAATATCAATCGTATTAAAACAATACCAACAGAAGGGCTAAAGTAGCTGTTGCCCAGAGTCCCCACACCCAATCTTCCTCTAGCATGAGTATCTTTAAGTAGTGCACACTGGATTCTATTACAGTTAATGGATTTTACATTACAAACTACAGTCATGGAATGCTGTCTTCCTCCGTTCCAAGCTTCGGCTGTGCGTGGGGAACCAGCTTCCGGGGTGGTTCAGCAAGGCTGACGATCACCACCATGCGTTGAGAGTCCGTTGCCGGTAGGACTCAGCAGGGTGTATTCTTCTTGAACTTCCGCACCAATGGCCTGTTACCTGGTATGTGACCGGATCACTCTGGTCTGCAGGCTTCAGTTTCATCCAGTGGATCCAGGATCTTCCTTCTAAGGTCTTAAAAGCACAATTACAAAACCAATACATCTGGGAGAGTGCGCAAAGGAATCTGATCAGTTGTAGTCCTCTTCAGTTGGGAAACAGCATAGGCAACCACTCAATCCTAAGAAAGAAAAAAATACAAAAATAGTCCAGATGATGAAGAACGCTATTCCCACTGGTTACTGCCCACCAGTCCCTTGGGTTCTTCGG